GGTGTACTGGTCCATTAAGTCCCCTGTTGTTAAATGGATATGCCACGTAGGACAGTGATTAAGTTCACTTATTGGCATATCCTTGGCCCTCGTGCCTAAAGAAATGAAATGAAATGAAATGAAATGAAAATGAAATCAACCATGTAGGTGGTGCATCCATAACAAAGAAAGTTAACAAAAAGGCCTAAAAAAGTTACCATAGGTCAATCACATTAAAAATACGGTACAAACCAAAACTTAATGGATCCAAGTGCAAAACATTTATTACTATTTTTCTCATAATAAAAGTTTAATTCTGATAATTACCATATTAATAACATTGCTTTTAGAGAGGGTCTTTGAACACAAGAATCTTGTACTAACAGTACTTTAGTTCCAGATCTAAAATGGTCTCCACATGTTGAAACTACTACGTCCAAAGCCAACTGTTGCCTGGGTATGATGAAACGCTTCACGGGTAGAACTGAAGCTTCTCCGAATATTTGCTGTTCCCGCTTGGAACTCAAACTCAATATGGGCCTTGCAGTCCCTCAGGAAATTGTTTTCAAGTATTAAAACTAACCTTTGTATAATAATTATCCGCTGGTGTACTATGCGCAGCTCTACTAATTGCTTATTAATTTAGTACCTGCAGCATATGAATACTTACTTAGAGATGTCTCCTGAAATTAGAGGTTGCCTTGGTAGATCCAGACACAGATAAACCACAATGTATACAGCATGGTATACAGGTAGTGCGACAAGGTTTTGCTTACCCTAGGGTCTATGAAATGGTTGTACACTGATGCCCCGTTTCGTAACATTCTAAGACAAAGGCTTTACACTGATCTGTTTCTGTACATTCACTCAGTAGAGATAGTGAAATGACCTTCATTTTGTTTAGCAGATATGCTAAATAGTTTGAGCTGACATCTGAAATGCCAATAACTGTATTAGAATTCACAATTTCAATTCCCTGATTTGTTGAGTGATAACTGGAATTAAAATTCTAAAATTGAAATGTAATTGGAATTCCAAGGTTAAAATTTTAAATTGCCATCCAGAATAACAACATTTTTGGAATTTTGAATATCAAGGATAATTAGGTTTGATATTGAAATTCTTTTGTTTTATGTAAGGCTGTTGACTAGTGAATGTGCGGTATGGATCTGTGGTGCAGTGTTTGTTACAGGTGATTGCCTTGTTCTTATACCGTACTGCATTTTAATGTTTATAATATTTTTTTTTTTTTTTTTTTTAAATTATGTATATTGAATTGCGATATTGTATTTTTGTTGTCATGAGGAGAGCCCCTCGACAGTAGATCTTCTACTTTTGGGCAATCCTGCCACATGGCAACAATTCTATTTTTGAAATTTTATATTTGTATATTTATATTTATATCTGGCGAAATAAATGAAATGAAATAATGGATCCAAGTGCAAAACATTTATTACTATTTTTCTCATAATAAAAGTTTAATTCTGATAATTACCATATTAATAACACATGCTTTAGAGAGGGTCTTTGAACACAAGAATCTTGTACTAACAGTACTTTAGTTCCAGATCTAAAATGGTCTCCACATGTTGAAACTACTACGTCCAAAGCCAACTGTTGCCTGGGTATGATGAAACGCTTCACGGGTAGAACTGAAGCTTCTCCGAATATTTGCTGTTCCCGCTTGGAACTCAAACTCAATATGGGCCTTGCAGTCCCTCAGGAAATTGTTTTCAAGTATTAAAACTAACCTTTGTATAATAATTATCTGCTAGTGACTGCGCAGCTCTACTAATTGCTTATTAATTTAGTACCTGCAGCATATGAATACTTACTTGGAGATGTCTCCTGAAATTAGAGGTTGCCTTGGTAGATCCAGACACAGATAAACCACAATGTATACAGCATGGTATACAGGTAGTGCGACAAGGTTTTGCTTACCCTAGGGTCTATGAAATGGTTGTACACTGATGCCCCGTTTCGTAACATTCTAAGACAAAGGCTTTACACTGATCTGTTTCTGTACATTCACTCAGTAGAGATAGTGAAATGACCTTCATTTTGTTTAGCAGATATGCTAAATAGTTTGAGCTGACATCTGAAATGCCAATAACTGTATTAGAATTCACAATTTCAATTCCCTGATTTGTTGAGTGATAACTGGAATTAAAATTCTAAAATTGAAATGTAATTGGAATTCCAAGGTTAAAATTTTAAATTGCCATCCAGAATAACAACATTTTTGGAATTTTGAATATCAAGGATAATTAGGTTTGATATTGAAATTCTTTTGTTTTATGTAAGGCTGTTGACTAGTGAATGTGCGGTATATGATCTGTGGTGCAGTGTTTGTTACAGGTGATTGCCTTGCAATTCCAAGGTCATGTTTTAATTCCTAAATAATGCACTTCTGTTCAAAACAACTCTTCTCAAACAATGGCTTATTTACATTCTGTATTACTGACAGAAATATAAATAGGATTTTAAATGAAATTGTGAAAATGCCAATTGAATTGAAATCAATTTAATAATTCTGCTTTTGTTTAAAAGTATTTCAAAAATTATAGGCCTATATTTTTGTATTTATAATCTATATATTATTAAAAAGTTAATATATTATTTTATTTGCCAATATTTTGAATGTATATATTTTAGTAAGTTGAAAATACATACTTAAAAAAGTGTTAATAATTGTTAGTAATTTAATTAGGAACAAAACCTATTGTTTTAAATTGAAGAACAATAGTACTTACTGAAATCATATTAATAATTGCATAAATCTAGCACACTGCAATTTATTTCACTCTTCGTACTGTATCTTGTTGAATGACAGCATTGGTATTCGCTGAGACAATATTTCCGAGCAAAGGCAGAGTACAGGATACATGTATTATCAATTGACCAATCACAGGCGTTCTTGATTCAGCTTCCATCATGTGTACACAAATTTCATTGCATTATCTCACAGTCTAATTATTCACTTAACTTCACAAAAAATATGGATTAGCTTTTAATATTTCTAGAACAAGATAATACTCAGGACACACTTTGAGATTGTAGTGCATATTTATAAGGATTTCCACTTTTTTTTTTGGAGTGCTTGCTGTTTGTATTTTGTATATTTCTATAGTTTGTGTATTCTCTCCTTCCCCACTGAGTTTTTTATTTTGCTTTGGGTAAGATGTGTGGTAGACGAGGCATTATCCTTGACCAATGTTGCTTGCTCTATATTGTGAATCACAGCATAAAGCAGAAATTGTAACAGATTGTTGATTCTGTGTTTCATGGTTCTTGCACTTCGCAACTTTTTTCTATTCATGCTTGCTGTTGGATTTGCAGATCCTTGTGTTGATATAAAATGCAACAAATTGGATAGCATTCAAGTCAAGTTTCACTTTTTATTTTCCTTTATCGATCATAAGAAATCTGCCCAAGAATAAATGTATATGACATTTGCGTGTTTCTCTAGATAGCATGGAACGGAGAGATTTTAATGATCAAAAGAACACACAGGTTGACAAGGAATCCAAGAAAGTACGCAAGCGATGGTCTTTGATACCAAACAAACTTGGAAGGTCAAAATCGTTCAGGAAAGAGGGCAGTAAAAATGGCAGCGCCAAAGTGGAATATGATGTCGCTCTTCGTCGTGGAGCGTCTGAACACAGAGGAAGAACTAAGAACAAACAGAAACAAATTATATCAATCAGCAGTCCCACGGTTGAGCTTTCAACAATTGATATTACTGATGAAAATTCTATATATTCTTCAGTGAATAGAAAACCTGATGTGCAGTTGGCAGCCTTGGAGTTATTTAGTGAGTTCAAATACAATGGGTTTTTGTTTTAAAAAATAAATATGAAGCATAAATTTAATACTTGCAGTACACCACATAGATAGTTCTGAAAAGAACTGTTGTTTGTTGAGAATGTCTTGACGTTTCAATTGGGTTGCTTTGAGTCGTTTTCAGGAGAATAATATCTGAAACGTTGAAATATTCTCAACAAACAAAAGTTTTTTCAGGACTATCTACGTCGTGTACTGCAAACATTAATTTATTATTACTTTGCCATGCAAACTTCAAACAGTAAATATTAAGCCTGATGATATTACTACTCTTTAATGCTTTTTAAAATAATTATGATTATAAAAAGGATTATAAACCAAATTATTCCAGTTTTTACCATCGTCAGGGACGTTTGCGCGCTGCCTGGTTGGTTGATTTTTAAAATATTAGTAGTAGTGTTTTCTACAGTACTACAAAGCTATTAAGAAGACAGAGCCTTTGTGATTTTGCTAATTTTTACATTTAATCAGTAAATTTACAGGGTTCGTACGGTCCAATAGAAAGTCCTTGAATTTGAAAAGCCCTTGGAATATTCTTGACAGTTGATGTTCGTACTTGAAAATCCATGAAAACAGATTTTCTAATTTTATATTTTTAGAATTGACTTTGTATTAATGATGTATAAACTGGTTCTATTCAGAGATTCCACTGTAATTATAAATGTTTTGAGAATATCTTGCAATGTACTGCATGTACATTAATATGAACAGTAAATGTGTTTGAATTTTGTTGAGTGGAGTATTAAAAATTATTACAGTTCTGGGATAGCCAGCTAATGTATAGAGATAATTTGTTATCGTCCTAAATTTGATACAGCTAGCAAGTAGGCCAAGAGATGATGCAACCGACGTTTTCTAGGTCAGTGCTTCTTAGACTTTGTGCGGTACGTCGTGAGAACGACTTGTTGTCGTGCTTGGTGGTACCGCATTACAATCATGTTTATTTAGCCAGCAGTGTTTTTTATGGAATAAAATGTCCTTTATCGAATCTATGTCCTTGGAAAGTCCTTGAAAAGTGAATTTACACTGGGTGCCACCATAATTCCTATCATAGACCTACAATTTAATTACAATTATAGAAATCATACCTTACCTGTAGGTACTGTATTTAAATACACCTCCACTGGTAAAGATGTTAATAAATATTAGAGAAAAACGTATGTCTCCGTCAGGATTTGAACCCAAGACCTTCCAATTACCGTTCGGATACTCTACCAACTCAGCTGCAGTACCAACTTGTGATTTATATTATTCATTACATATTATGCAATATCTTGATAAAAGAACATGTCCTGATATGAAAACCCAAAGCAATGGCGTATGCCTATGTTCTCTCATGAGGCGGTCCACAGGGCCTCCAAGCCATATGGGCCCGAATGGCCCACTACCCAAAAGGGCTTTGTTGATAGATAACAGCATAATGTGTCTCTGATATCGACACACTGTATATTATGTCCAGTGGTGGATAATTTTAGTCGGCCCAGGACCCCCAAAATTCATCAAAATTTTTAAAAATGTAGGTAAAGAAAATTATATTCATGTGTGTGAGTGTATTTATTTAAATAAAGAGAGATTTAGTTTAAGAGAGGATTTTTTTTTAAAAAGAGAAAAGCTTTTTTTTGGAGTAAAATGTACAGTATTCAAAAAACCCCAAACCCCATGTACAGTACAGTAGTTCACATAAATGAAACTACTGTATAACATAATCGTAAAAATTTGATGAAGTACAATTTAATAGGCCTAGACTTGTGTGCAGTAATTAAGATAATTAATAAGTGGGGATTTTGTGCAATGGTAGTTTGTATAAATTTGTCCAATTAGAATTATTACCGTATTTATGAATATTAATTATCATTGTCACAACTGAAACAAGGATAAATTGCTAGTGGGTTATACTATTACTCTTGTATTACTAGTAATCTGATTATTAATCAATTAAAAGGGAAATTAGATGTGCTGACTTTAGCTTAAACTTCCTACTGTTTAAACATTGCATCAATCATGGATCATTACAGTATCTGAGCTCAATAAAACTGCAGCCTATTTTCTGTTCTTTCTAGATCATTTATCAGGTAGTATATTGATAACATTCCGGAGAGTTGATGGGCTTATCAAGCGTTTAGGTGTAGTACCTGTGTTAATAACCGTCTGAGTACCAATGCAATTCATGTACTACTGTTTGCTTTTGACATAATGATCAAAGTCCTTTACGTAGTTATCAGACATGGTGTTTCATTTCCACTCTTTTCATATTCGGCGAGAGGTTATTAACTGTTGACTTTTACCCAGTAAATTAGTGATCCATATCGGTTGTTTTTGAAGCGTCTGAGCACCTTATTCTACTCTTTTGGATTTATTTTTATTTAACAGGAACGTGAAAATACAGGTATGTTTCTATTAGAGGCCTGTAAAATAAAAAAATGAATTAAATGGTGGAAGTGTGGATATTCATAAAAAATATTGTAGTCAGTAAATACTCTGGACGCCTGTTATAGCGCAAGTTCCCACATAGGCCATCGTCAGAGAACATGGTGTTTGCTTGCTATATTAGCACAAATTGGTATATTTGTATAGGATATTGCACGTAGAGTAGAGCAAAATCAGCTGGATTTTATGGCAACCTGCGAAATCCGGTTGATGTTGTAGTTTTCATTGGATCAACCTCAAATTTTCTAATTTTGTTTCTGGAATACCGTATACATTTGATTTGACATTTCCTCTAGCAATTATTATATAAAAATTATCAAGAATTTCAATTCAAGGAATTTACCTATTTGTTTGTTAAGGAAATTTGGGAAAAACATCTATTCATTTGCCCAAAGCCAAATTGGATTATAGTTTTCCATAAAATTACAAGACATTTGAAGTTTTCGTGTTTTGCTAATTGTATTTCTTTCACATTAATAGATATATTTATGTCTGTTTCCTTTCTGTCACATAAATTGAATGATGTTTAATGATGATTTATGACAGTAGTTTTCTTCACATGTTGAAGTGTTTTATCATTATCTGACTTTTAAATAAAATAATTTTTGACCCATTTTTGCTAACTTCTAAAAGAAATGTAGGCCTAAATACCATAAGAACATGTGATGGAACCAAAAAAAGTGTTAAAACTTTGAAATATTTGACTCCTCAGTTAAATAATATTTCACAGTAATATACAGAAGCATGGGCAAAAATGATCAGGTGAATTGCAAGAAATATTTTTTACAGTCAGATTTAAATACCTGATAGAGTTTAAATTGGTGTAATTTGGTAGTTTCTTCCAGACGTCAAGGCCATATTAAAAAATTATTTTTTCCTAAAAGTAAGTCTATTAAAAGGAAGATTATAATGGTCTCTTTGCCTAGTAATGAATCACATTGTTTTTACAGAAAGGGTCAGATAACCCAGTGGGGACGTCACCCTTTCCTTTGTGAAACATAAAAATACATTCATTTTAATTATATGAAAGTTCAAACCTAAGAATATCATGTTCCATAAAATGTGTGTGCATGACGTGCAAAGCCTGAGAGAGACCTAATTGCTCTCTTCTGGATGATAACAACTTTATTAATTAGATAGTCATGAGTATTACTCCAGGCAAGTATATATAGTAATATAAATAATCTGATGAAATTAAGCTAGTGTAGATAAAGTTTAATGATGTTTTAACAGGAAAAGATTTGCTTAACTTAAGATATACTGTAAATGATCATTTTTTTGTTTCTTTAGACACTGTCTCAATTTTAAGGCCTGGTTCACACTGCAGCGTTCTGATCCTGATCGGCTGCTGTCAATTTAACAGATAGGGATAAGCCAATCATCGGCCTATGTCCCCGCCGATAGAAAAAACTCTCGAAAGTGTTCCAGTGGTCGAATCTCCAGAATAATGTTAAAATTTATATTTCATCGATTTTAGAGTCTACTAATATGCAGAAAATATATATACATTTTTTCTCCCCGACAATTGTGTTTTTTTTTCTCCAACGGGGATGGGTTGGCAGCTCGCCCCAATGGTGCCACCCCTGGGCTGAGGTGGTGTGGACTGTCACGCACCCCTTACCACCAAATACTTCATCAACCCCGGAAGTATGGTCCTAAAGATTTTGGACTGTTTGTAATGGTTAGCAACAATTGTGTGTGAACATTGCCTAAATACACTGCTAGGTCAGTGACTTTAATGGCCTTCTTCTTTGCTATGCAATGCCTTGGAAGTGATATGTAGGCCTACTGTATACTGTAGGAAAACCGAAAGTAGCATTAGTTGTTGGAGTGAAGAACATTACTATTACAGTACATGGTCTTTCGTTCGTACATACCTGTAACACCTTTAATTACTGTATCATTTTATTCCCTACAGCCGATAGTGGGGGAAGGCAGGCCTATGCCCGGGGGAAAACAATAAAAATAATTTTATAAAGCAAGTATCTGTGTCATCGGTTGTATATACAGGTAGTAACGGCTATTACAGTAGTTCAATTAACTAAGAATTTAAATGCATTTAGGTTTGACTATACCTGTAATAATTTTGAAATTAGGAAAAACAGGAATCGCTCTCCATGCAGATAATATTAAATGCAATATGGGACTTAATACATTAAAGTGAATAAATCATAAAGTAGAAATCAAGTGTTTTTGCATTTTCGGAAACTTGGCTGGATCAAAATGTAACTGACCAGCTGTATGTCACACCCCAGACTTCAGTCTATACAGACAGGATCGCGATCTAAATGTAGTGAGGAAATCCCGCGGGGGCGGAGTATGTCTACTTATATACCAGAATTGGTATAAGGGATGTTAAGATTCTATCAGCCACCTGCACCCCGATGCTGGAGTCGCTTACGATCGTTGTCGCCCCTTACGATCCCTTGTCGCCCCTTATCTACATGATACCGGGATATAGATGTCAGTTCAAGCGAGAGGCTGTTAAATCACGTGTGACCAGCAAATGGACAACAGATAATATAATGACTGGGATATTTTTAAGGACTCGGACATTAACACGTACGGAATCTGTTGCCTGTTATTTAAAAGTTTGTCAAGGTTTGTGTATAGATAAGTTTGTAGTTAAAAACTTATCTTATACACATAGATCATAATCAAAAACCCTGGTTTAATAAGTCTGTTAAGACCTTGATACGGAATAGAGACATGGCTATTAGATCAAAAGATAAAAAAATGTTCAAAAAAGCAAAATACGAGTTAAAGAAGGGGATAAAGAAAGCCAAAATTGAGTATGAAAATACATGTGAGGAAGATATATGTTCAGGTGATACTAAGGAATTAGAAAGGGGTTAAATAAAATAACTAACTATAAACGGAAGTCTAATGTTAATCATTCAAAAGATAATCTACCCCAGCAATTAAATGATTTTTTCAGTCGTTTTGACACTCCTCTCCCTAATGATGTTGAAAATAGTGATTCTTCCGCCGATGACAATCGTTATGATAAGGATTGTTCTTTACTTATTCCTGAAGAGGAAATGTGTTGGGAATTCCGAAGATGCAAGTCAACAAAATCTGCAGGTCCAGATGGTATTAGTCCATCTCTAGTTAAACACTGTTGCCGTGAGATCTCGCACATCTTCAGATATATATTCAATTGTTCCCATCTTTTATTCCGCATTGTTTTAAAGATTCAGTAATAATTCCAATACCAAAACATTCCCCAATAGTAACGATTACCCACCCATTGCTTTAACCTCTGTCATAATGAAGTGTTTTGAGTGTCCGGTAAATCTGGACCCATATCAGTTTGCATATCTAGATCAAATCCTTCTACTGATGATGCCGTATCAATTACTCTGCATAAGGTCTTAGCATCTGGATTGTGATAAAAGATGTGCAAGAATTTTATATTGATTTTAGCTCTGATTTAACACGATTATACCGCACAAGTTGTATGCAAAGATGACTGAAATAGGTTTTGATGTATCTATTTGTAACTGGGTTCGTAATTTCCTATACAGATCGACCTCAGTTTACCAGAGTGGGTACCCTCACCTCTGATAAACGAATAGTTAATACTGGTGTACTCCAGGGGTGCGTCCTTTCACCCTTTTCACTTTGTTTACATATGATTGTGTATAACAACGTTCCATAACTGCCACATAGCAAAGTTCGCTGATGACACCACCATTGTAGGACTTATCCAAGATAATGATGAGTCATATTATCGAAAGCAAGTTCAAGACATTGTCGACTTGAATGTATCTAAAACTAAGGAAATGGTTGTAGACTTCCGGAAAGCTATAAATCCAAAATACCCTATATTTATTAATGATGTCCCAGTCGACTTTGTTGAGAAATTGAAATTCCTTGGTATTTATATATCCAATGATACGAAGTGCCATTGTAACGTGCAGACAATTGTGAAAAGGGCACAGAAAATAATGTTTTTTGCATAGGCTTAAATAATTTAAAATGCATCTGACTAAAATGATACAGAATAAATTGTTTACTTTTTGCGCTCTGTTTCTTTGTTTGCGTTTGTTCTACTTTTTGGCCTGTGTTCTACCAACAGCGCAAAACAAATTTCTATGTTCTCAACAATGACAATAAAATATGATTTAGAGAAAAGTGAACAGACAAATTCATGATAGGCATTCGTAATTGTTGTAAGTTGTTCTTTACACTCACTATGAAAAGTGAGGTTTTCACTATAGAAGATGGTGAATAGTGTGGAGAACTGTGGGGCCTCCCAGTTTGAAATGTGGGCCCTTGTCCTCCACTGATCGATGTCCATTAGGTCATGGAAATTCATTTTTTCCCCTTGAACTTCCTTTGATTATAAAAGAAAATAATGGAATCACCCATTCATGGCGTGGGTATTGCTCTGTTTCCAGGCAAAGGGTGGAGGTATGGACTCCTTGGAGTGATTGGTCTTTATGTCTAATCGTTTGAATTGGGCATAGCATCAACTACATGAAATGGCTGACCTATGAGCCTTTTCCCTCCCACCAGAGACTTTGTCCGTGTACCCCGCTAAGTGCCTCCCCTCACCCCAAGATTCCTGCTTTTGGGGCACCAATAGCTACGCTACCCCAGGGTCCAGGACTGCAGTCGACATTGTTTTTATTGCACAGGAAAAAAAGAGTATGTTTCGTAGTTTTAAGTCTTTGTTTTCTATTGGTTGTTTAATTAACGTCTTTAACATGAAAATTCTTTTGTACACAGATGATATGATGACCCAGGGTGTTGCAGTTGATGTCTGGTTGAGAACGTTGGAACTTGAGGAATATGTCAGCCTCTTCAAGCCTAATACAACCGTTGATGTAAGTTCTCTATCTACATAATATAATAAAGAAAAAGTAATTGGTAGTTATTAGCTTGAGAGAACTACTTTGTAGTTTTAGTGACAACTTAACCAATCAACGATCACTTATGCACAACGTTCAGGCGAAATCATAGACAAAAGAGTTTCCCCCTAAGAGCCGAATAAAGGCTGTCTCTTATACACATCTAGATGTGTATAAGAGACAGTATATATATATATATACACACCATAAAAAATGGGTGTGGCCGAGTTGAATTTTTGTCTGAATGGTTTCAGTCAGGGTTGTCTGTTAGGCCAAGTTGTCATAGAAGTACGGTATTCACAAAACCAATCCCATTTTAATTGACTTGTGTCTTGCTCTCTAGATGATTCAGTTGTCTTCAGTAGTACAGTACATACTGCACTTGGATAACGTTGTATCCATAGGCTTAGCCAGCGAGCCGTCCGGCTGTCTTTTGGACGGCCTACAAATATTTAGGACTGCCACTTTTTACCGAGATGGCTTGAACGGCTTGGCCTAATCAGCTTGGCCTAGCCTAACAATGGGCCTGGTCTACCCTTTAGCAAATTCTTTATATTCTTCAAATCTATCGAATGTTACATTAAACTAAAGCTAAATCAAACTTACTTTTGATAAAAACAACATTTATTGATTGAATATACGTAAATTGTGAGATAAATTTTATCTTTTTTTGTTTAAACTTACAGTAGTATTTTTTTTAATCATCCAAACATTTGTCAAAAAGCAGGACAATTTAGGGATTTGGCAGGACACAAGTTAAAAAAGGAGGACTATCTCACCAAGAAGATGGAACTTATTATATTGTCACAGTATTGTAGGCCTATTACAGGCAGTATAAACAAAAAATTCATAGTCATAAATATAATACATGCCCTGATATTAAAAATAAAATATAAAAGCCTCGTTTAAAATTTCAACTTGGCCTAATTTTGGATTATTTTGTTATCTAATTTCTTATTTTAGATGATTTCAGCCAAAATATGCTTTTAAAATGTGTTATAAAAATGAAAGACTAACTACTGTATATTCAATCACTCTGGTGGTGTTCATATCATCTACAGACAACAATGCTCTCAGACTTTACACACCTGATAACCATCTACGTATTATGCTACAATTGACTTTCTGTTATGATTACAATATAATGTAAACAGTGGCTTATCAAAAGATTGGTACTGCCAGGGTGTCAACCAAAATTGTTGGCCCATTTAATATTCACATAGCTTTTTAAGTGAGAGAAATCTGTATATTGCAGGTGCACTGCACTGCACTGCAATGTCATTCAGCATATTATTGAACTATGTAAACACTGGGAATACTAACTTACCGGTAGCATTTTTTTGTTGGTTATTTTTAAGGTTATTTGCCTTGTATGTTTTTTAAAGGATTTTTATGCAGAAACCATCACCAAATAGTTAAAAATTGTTATTTTAACATTGAAAATGAGGAAAATAACAACATAGTATGATATATAGACATTTGTGATGAGTGACTGGTTTGGATATGTAGATATTAGAGTGTCTTCAATTATATGTTCAATAATGAATTAAAATAGCTAATATTGGTATAATATGTTTGTAATTCAGAGTTTGTTACACCTGACTGAGAAGGATCTGTTGGATCTTGGTGTGAAAAGTCCTGTCCATCGTGCTCGGATTGCATCTAATCTTGTCCTCATTCGGCAGAAGTGCGCCAGATACAACACTGGTAAGTTCATTAAATGTACTGGTAGGCCAAACGAATTTCATGGATTGTTTTTATTTTATTTAATTTCTAGTTTAATTAATAAAAACCAAGGACTTTTACAGTTAAAATGTACTTGTAAAAATAATATGAATAATATTCTTACCCAGCCAGCAATGGGAGATTCAGTAGCTATAGTGTCTTCGTATATACTTGGCCAAGTTTAAAGATAATAAATCCAAGCATTGCCTTGTTTGTTTGGTTTGTTCGGTTTTTAGATTTCATTTTTTTAACTGAACATAACATTTCATAATCCATTGATTTAATGCTTTTAATAAAATGTGAACAGTGACATACCTAATATAACAAACATTACCATACATAAGCACATCATGACTATATAATTATGGACACAAGTAAATTTGAAAATCTGGACAAAGCTTTAGGAACAATAAACCAAATACACCTTGATAGAATTAAGTATGCTCGCGAAATGGCCGCCTTTGGCGGCCTTTCGTGAGGCTGTGAGGTATGGGGCGGGTCCAGATATTTACAGGAGGGGGTGCAGAAAGAGGGGAACTCCAGTGTAAATAACATAGCTTTTAATGACTTGAGGAACGATCTTTTGCCTTTAACCATCCCACCTTAAAAACTTAAAACTTGAAACTTAAAAGCCAACAATAGTATTATTATTAGCCTGAAAATTATTCTCATAAATGACACCCCTGGCCACCACCCCTAAATAATAAATAAACCTGCGGACTATTTACCTAACATCCATACACTTTTTTAAAGCTAAAAAGCACTGAAATATGTTAAGGATGATGGGGGGAGGGGTTCCGGACATCAATGACCATCACCTCCAGGCCCGTAGCGTGACTTAATTTGTGGGAGGTTCGTTTCAGTGAAAAGTGGACCCTTTGGCATGTATGACCTCCAATACTCTGGAGAACATTGTAAATATGTCTACGAATATCAATTTTTCGTTTTTAAATGTGGACCTTCTCCAGTTTTTGGGCGGTTCGTTGTAACCCCTTTAAACCCCCCCATGGTACGGGCCTGACCCCCTTTGCATCTGCCCAGGAGTATCATTAAATAATCATTCTTCGAAACCCAGCAGCCAAATACTGTAAGTATTGCCATATAACAGAATATTCTAAAGCATAATATTGGATACTGCTACGTCTTTAACTATATTTTTTGAAAGACCTTTGCAAATGAAAGTCAGATTACATTTTAAATAAAGAAAAACATGAACCAATAATAATTTTGTTTATTATTAAAAAAGTAATATAGGCCTACTGATATAGAAATGGTAAAAATGGATTAAACAATACATGCTAAAATGTTGTGATAGATGTAGACATTCCTTATTCGTCACATACTGACTTATTTTAGTGACTAACATGGTCACTTTATTAAATATTTGATTCCTTTATATTTAGTGACAATATACGCATTTGTATCAGCCGCACTCACTGAAGTAGTACGTTCCAGTCATGTACTACATACGGAATACTCTGCTGCATTTTCCACTGTACTGTACTTAACATAATTTGAATATTATGAATTCTCACATGTGTTTTTGAGTCATTCTGGCTCAAATCAGCCAGAAATTTAAAGTTACAATGTGACTTCCCTTGGATTTTCCTTTAAAAAAATTCTAAAAATACTATGTCAATTATGAAAGAATCCAAAATTTCAGCTCCAATTTCCAAGTTGGTTTTTAAGTTATGACCTTTTGAAATTTAGGTACAATGCCCCCTTTCTCGGTAATGGCTCCTTTAACTTTGTACAGTTTTTACAAAGCTATATCTCCTGGAATAATGAAGATAAAAAGTTGAAAATTTCTACATAGACTGAAAATGGCCCACTTAATATTAATTATGAAATTTATACCAGTACACAAATACACATCATCCTTTCGTAGAAAGTTCAAACTTCGTTCTTAACCCCTTCGGTGTGAACTGATTTTTTTCAAAAATAGACAGATTTTAATGTATTCTGGATATCAGGTCAAAGTTAAGTCAAAAATATTGTAATTGTACTGACTCATATGTGATTTGAACTTAGAGCTGATATTCAAATTTAAATTATATTTTCAGATGAGCATAATTATATCTTAGTTAACAGCTTGCTACAGTATGTTGTTATTGTGTTCATTCGCCAGGCAACAGTGTTATGGTCTGAGGCACCAAGTGGTTTAACATTGAAACAGCATTGTGTTTCCATAGCACTTCTGAAGATTGTATTGCCTCTTGTTGGCTTGTCATCATACTGATTGTAGTCTAGCTTTCAGAGAACAGTGATTTAACCTTTTGAGGTCACAGCCCTTAACGAATACGAACCAATTTACTGTCCGGGATGCAGGAGCATGCTTTACTACTAGGCAAATTTCCAGCTTATTTTTTTTAGTAATGTTGCCCTCTTCTGATTCTATGACGCAAGGGAAATTCCTAATATTATCTAGATGTGAATAAAGAAGCCTTGCAAAATATAGCAGTATCACGAGTGGGTCACGTGACGAGATTAAAGGCAGTTGCATCGCATAGTAGGCTACGATTTTTTTCTTGGGTTACTCCATTTTTCTGTGGGGAATTGATAACACGACCATTTGGTGTAAATCCTCAATTAACACAAAAATGTCTCATATTAAATACCATTTAAAGGAACACATGCTTGAGTTATTTTCCTGTGAATTTGGTTTACAATAATATTAATTAATCATGATTATTGTCAGCATTATCAAAACCAGCTACCAGAAATATAAAAACCTAGGCTAGGCCTATGTTTTTATATTACTCCGAAATATAATGAAAAGGAATAAAATTAAAATTGAAAGTAAAAGACAATTTTCAAGAGTTTTTGTTAATTACATCATTTTAGTATAATTTGAACAAGATTTTCAATTCCTGGGACAAATACATTCGATTCAAACTAGATAAGTACAGGTCTCCCTCCAATTAAAGACCCTTCCTATGTAAGACCACCTCCAATTAAGGACCACTTTTCTGTGGTCCTGTTTGAATTCCTATCTTTTACCATTAGCTGTTCCCTCCAATTATTCCTAATAATCTATTAATCCCTCTAGATACCAAAGACCATGGTTTTCAATGAGCGATTTGCTAGACCCAGCCTAGAGTCTGACTTAAGTTAGTGCTTCTAAGGCCCAATAAAAAAAAAAAATAGTTAATGCATACATTGTTTATCAAAATCATTATACACCTGTTAAATCCAATTTAAAAAAAATAAAAAAATAATAATCTTGTTAATAATGCAGTTCTAAAATTAATCTTATGACCACAACTTTTAAGTTGTAACTTCAGGAAAAATAATAATGCATTTTTATTGTACCGCCACCAGCTGGGAAAGTAATTAAATATGCATATATGTAAATGTCTTTTGTGATTGGTTGATTGCCAACATTTCAATGCTTAGTGGTTTAGACGGTCAGATATAATGCATAACTCTCATAATAATTTCATATTTCGAAAAAAATATATATGATCACGTTCCATGATAGATTACATCCACAGGGTGCCCCTAAGCCAAAATTTCAAAATTGCGTTTTTTCCAAATCACGACAGACTGAGTAGATTAGGCCTACTGGTTAAAATGAAAAAATTTAAGATTTTATTTTTATATCACAGAAAATCACAAATTAATATTTAGTACATTCTCGACTGTCTTGGAAATGTGGACCTCATCAAATTTGGTTGGGTGCGTTATACACACTCTTCGTAACAACCCCCTACTGGATATACGGGCCTGGAAACTTTACATTTTACCTGCCAATTAATACAGTATTATACGCTTATTAGATATCTTCTCAATTTCTCAGTATTTTTGTTTTTTATTATTTTTCCACTTCCAATGCTGTATGATTTGAAGTTTACATCCATTCACGTTGTTGCTCTTCTTCAGATTTTGTGTTCACTTTCAGTCTCTCTGTGCTCGGTGATTATTTTTGACTTTCATTTTAGATGTACTGTATCTAAGTGTGTTCTTAAGTTTTAAGCTCTAGGTCTAGGTTTTTTTTTTGTTTTTTTTGTTTTTTCCCCATTATAATTTCTTTGTTTTTCTATTTATATTTCCTTTGTTACTTGTGTTATGTATTGAGGGTCCCTAATGATCAGCTCCGGCTGGATGGACCACCCTCGTAAAACATTGTTGAAATAAATAAACAATTAGGCTACCAACTCCCTTAAAGACTTGTTTTTTTTTTGTGAATAGCATTCTTTAAAATAATGAAATAATAATTCATTAATCAAAAAGTAATAATAAAAAATAATATGTTTTCGCTTTGGTGTAATTTTAGAATAACAAAATATAATATAATTATATATGCCTTTCAATAAGAATCAACGCACATGTATAGCCTATCATCCCTGTGATTGATTTTGTATTAACCATTTTTTGTATTAACCATACATTATACCATAAATCATATAATAATAAAACAACTCAACAGTGTAATGTACATTATCGCGCAGCAGATTTAATTACAGTCCCTCTTCGATTAATAATTAGACAATGCAAAAAGTTTATTTTGTCTATGTATTTTTGTCTTTGGTTTAAGTACAGTAGGTGGCATTTCTGATACAAAGAGTTGGAATTTTCCAGACTACCAGGCACTGCTATCACTTTATATTGTCGAACGTTGCGAAGAGGTCTGGATCCACGCTGCCTCTAGGTGCCCGGAAATTGTACTCCCATACCTTACAATAATACAATACAACAATTATTCTTCTTGATACAATTCAAGGGGGTGCGACCACATCCTCTGCACCTCCTCTGCATCTGCCCCAGTGCACCATCAACATAATCAATGTGAATTAATACCTTAATAACAACAATATGTAAGATACAAGACAATTGAAAATAAGGTATCGCTAATACATTAACCATTTATTTGTCGATTTAATTATGGGTTTCTTTATAATTAATTTGTCAAATCATTGTTGTTTAAATGATTGTTTTTTGTTGCATAGAGGGTATAATGTTCTCAGTTTTCTTCTTATGCTGTTGCTTCTCGTTGCCTAGGGGGTATATGGTCTCGGTTTTCTTCTTATGTTAAAAGTTTTTACAACAATGAGAACCGAAGAACTGAGATTCGTAAATCATATAAAGGTATTGGAATAGAATGGTAATGGCATGAAATAATGCATTTTGATCCTGACACTTGTAGGACAGCTGTCTACAGTATGTACCATGCATATGGTGTCTTCCTCATATCAATCTCTGGCATGTAGATAGGGGTAAGCCTCTGCTTTTGGCATGCACATGGGCATAATCTTTGCTATTGGCATGTGCATGGGGTAATCGTCTGCTGTTGGCCAGTGCATCAATAGGGTCAACCTCTGTTTTAGTGTGTGCTACAGTACATATTGGCATATGGGTCAACCTCTAGTTGCTATTTACTGTACTCGCGCGAATAAGCGCCTGGGTGCTTAAAATATTTGTTGCACTTTCTGAGGGGCGCTTATTCAAACGGGGCGCTTATTTAAAGGGGGTGCTTATGAAAACAGAGTGGAAATTGTGGAGGCGCTTATGGAAATAGATGAAAATTAAAGGGTTCTTATGGGAAATTATTAAATTCAAGAGGCACTTTTTGAATGAAATAAAGATTATATAAGGACATTACGAATTGGTGGTTAGGCAGAAAAGATAATCGTCCAGAGAACATGGCTCATGACAAGAATGCGTGAATATTTACGTAACAGCAAAATAGCAGATGCAATTAGTGGTGGTGGGTAGTGGTTAGCTTGCTGGCCATCGGCCGATTGAGATTAGCAGGATGGCAGGATCATTGTATTTTTTCTTGAAAACGCAGACATGCTAAAGGTCGGAAAAAGAAAAAGAGGAGTACGGCTATGCATAGACAAATATGTAAAAAGAGTAGTTGGAAATAGTTGGAAATATACATAGGGATCGGAGCTCTCATCTGTTCAAGAGAAATATCCTCATTTTGATATTGACCTAAGGAGAATGTGTTTCCACTCTGCGCAGCTCAAATCATGCCAACAACCACAGTCCCATTATTGATTGGATTATTGACTTGCTAAAAAGAAAATCTTATGATATTATTAAAAGGGGCGCTTATGTATCCAAATTAGAAGGAGGTGCTTATTCAAACGGGGCGCTTAAGGAAATTTTTATGTTAGGAGGGGCGGTTATTCGAGAGGGGCGCTTATTCAAACGGGGTGCTTATACAGTATACACATGGGGTCAATTTACACTATTAGTGTACACATATGGTGATTAGTAGCCTGTGCTATTGGCATATCCTTGGAGGTCAACCTGTATCTCTTAATCTGTTGGTGTACACATGGAGGAAACCTGTGTCTATTGATGTACACATTTGGGTGGGGGTCAACCTTTGTCTGCTGTTGGTATGAATGTAGTCAACCTTTGCTATTGGCATACACATGGTGGTTAGCATCAGGTGCTATTGGCATATATATATATATATATATATATATATGTATATA